ACCTGGGTTCAAATCCCAGCTCGGCCACTGAAACCCATTGCGGGCGTGGCACCTCACATACTTCAAAAACATCTGAACATCTCACATAGTTCAAAATCTCTATTAGAGTTGCCATAAGTTGGGAATGACTTGAAAGCCCATAACAATTTTTTTCAACCTCATTCTGATTATACTAGAAGGTAAAGGTAAAGGTAAAGGTTCCCCTTGACAATTTTTGTCCAGTCGTGTTCGACTCTAGGGGGCGGTGCTCATCCCCGTTTCCAAGCCATAGAGCCAGCGTTTTGTCCGAAGACAATCTTCCGTGGTCACATGGCCAGTGCAACTTAGACACGGAACGCTGTTACCTTCCCACCGAGGTGGTCCCTATTTATCTACTTGCATTTGCATGCTTTCGAACCGCTAGGTTGGCGGGAGCTGGGACAAGCGACGGGAGCTCACTCCGTCACGTGGATTCAATCTTACGACTGCTTGGTCTTCTGACCCTGCAGCACAGAGGCTTCTACGGTTTAGCCCGCAGCGCCACCACGTCCCTGCAGAAGGACAAGGTATAAATTATTCTAATGAATCAATTAAAACACTGTTCTCAGTTACCTAGAATGTGAATGAAAGCTAACATTTTAATTTCAATTGGCTTTAGTAATCCTTCACAATGAGCAACTGGTCTCCTTAATAATTTGTTCGTATCCAGAACTGTTTAGTCAGATGCCCTGTTTACTGATCTTTTCCCCCAGCTAGTACACTTCTAAGCTTAAGGACACATAATAAAACTGACCTATGTAACACAGACCTCAGGTAATTAAATGCCTAACAGATGATAAATTATTCAACCTCAACCTCCATGCATTATGTGGCAAGAAATGCATATTTTCCACTTCTATTCATTGCCCATGCACATGAACTATTATGTGCATGACCACACACTTCCAATATTTTTACATATATATGTGTGTCAAGTTGCAGTGCATCATGTAGCCTTCAATGTATTGTGAAGAACATTATTGGATTCATTAATTATTTGTTGGATGCATTGATATCCTGCCCATTAGCCAAAAGGCTCTTACAGTAGCTTACAAAATAGGAGATATATAACATATTTATTATGTATTTGATGTATATATGTGTTTTATACATGTACACAGATATTTAATATGGGTAATACAGCAAACTAAGTGTCTTATTTTTAAAACCAGTGCTGTTATCTATTGCAAAAATTGAATTTGAATACCTTGGACAGTAATGAGAAGTGGAATTATTTCCCTGATCGATCCAAATTATTAAGAAAAGCAAATTAACAGCTCAAGAGAAGAACTGCCATAAAAAGCTAGCACTTACTGGGTGAACCTACACCTCTCACTGTCTACTTTGCAGGGCTGTTGAAAAGAAAAAAATGGTGAGAAGCCTTTCTGAGCTCCTTGGAAGGAACATGAGATACAAGGGTAACAAATAAATAAGACTGCATTCTGCCACTGTTGCCTCTGAATAACACATATTCAAAGGAAGCTGCCTTTAAACACCAGTATCCTATGAGAATTTGTCTAACCTTTTAAATGTACTAGTGATCACTACCATTTGTACACTGGGACTTCAATTACAAGATACATTGTCTAATCATTCAATATCCAGTCCCAGTCAAACTAGGGGAAAGATTAAATTCAGCTTAAACAGACTGTGAAGTTTACCTTTCCCACGGCAGTGAAACCATTGCCAGCAACAAAAGATTTTGCTCACATGGGCACAGATGAACTTCCTGCACTTTAAATCACCACGGTTAACTAGTGTTGTGGATTTTCCAGAACATCCTGAATTGCTTGAGTTGCACAGAGCTAGTTACACGGAAAACCTGTGAATTCCTGCCCTATAAAAAACTGATGTACTCAAGAAGAAATAGCAAGGTATGGACTGCAACTCCCATCAGCTCCAACCTGCATAGCTACTGGTAAAAGATAAAAGGAGCTGCAGCCCACTAACATCTGGAGGGCCACAAGTCGCCAATCTTTATTAGAGCATGACCTGACACAGTATATTATTTTAATTCTATTAATAAACAAAACCATCTTAAAAACGACATGTCTATTTTTTTTTCTCCCTATACACACGGGGCCTTCCAGAAGAAGAGCCAGATTGTGTCGCCTTGGGCAAGCTGCATAATCCCAGGACACTCCCCAGAAGATGGGAATGGTCAACCTATGTTATACCCATCCGTTTCCGCATCAACTTCAAAGTGTTAATGCTTACGTACAAAGCCCTAAACAGTTTAGGGCCTCGATACTTGGCAGAACGCCTACTCCCACCAAGATCTACTCGTGTCACTCGTGCGAGCCAGGAGGTGAGGCTGAGGAGCCTAACGCCGAGGGAGGCCCGAAAGGAAAAGACAAGAAATTGGGCCTTCTCGGCGGTGGCTCCTCACCTCTGGAACAATCTATCTCCTGAGCTTCGTGTGGCTCCCTCGCTGGGTATCTTCAAAAATCAACTTAAAACATGGATGTTTCAGCAGGCCTTCCCTCCAGTCAATCCCTGATGCCCCTTTCCCCCCTCTATTTGCCTCTTTTATTACGTCTATTTTATGTAATACTGTTTTATATATATTTATTGTTCTATTTTATGTTGTTAGCCACCTAGAGTGGTCTTAAACGGCTAGATAGGTGGGATATAAATAAAATAAATAAATAAATACCTAGAAAATCCAGGAGTCACCATAAGTCAGAGTTGACTTGATTTTTTATTGTTGTTGTTGTTACTACTACTACTATTATTACTATTACCGCTGCTGATGCTACTACTACTACTCTTACTCTACCATGAGCATTTGACCTGAAATGGAGAAGAGGATTTTACTTACTGGGATCTGGAGTACTCACATAAATTCAAAAGGAACTGGAGTACTCACATAAATTCAAAAGGAACAATTTTTTTTTTTAAAAGGTGGAGTGGAACAAATATTTTTTTAAAAAGGTGGAACAGGTGGATGTGTCATATGTCACCCCTTTTTTTAAAATGCATTTTCGGGAACAGAGAGCTTTCTCAGATATAAGTTTCAATGAGATACAAAAAATTTACATCCTTCAAGTTATTGCTAGGCTCCAATTTCCATCTGTACCGGGCAGCATGGCCAATGGTCAGGAACAATGGAAGTCTGAGTACAGGAACATCTGAAGATCGACATTTTCCTCTTCCCAGACTTAAAATGTGGGGTAAAGAGAGAAGCTCAGCTGGCTGGGTAGGTCAGCGGGAAAGGTATGTGGCTGCAGAGCCAGACTGTGCCTCCAGAGAGTAGACATTGTCTAGAGGGGGGGGGAAAAAATCTAATAAATAAATAATAAAATAAAATAAAGAGCCAGTCTGTGTGGCCTTGGGAAAACTGCACAGTCCCAGGATCCCCCAGAAGGGAATGGTAAAGTGTCTCTGAGTATTCTTTACTGAGAGAACCCTGAAAAGAGTCATCATAAGTCATCCCGCAGAAGAAGGGAATGGTAAAGTGTTTCTTGAGTATTCTTTACTGAGAGAACCCTGAAGAGAGTCATCATAAGTCAGCATCAACTTGACGGCGTGTGTGTGCGCGCACACACACACACACACAGACAAAGAGAAGCTAACTTTTAGACAGGCAACCATATTAGTTTCTTACAACAAAGATGGTGGGCAGTACCAGCACATTTATATTCAGAAGCAAGTTCCTCTCCAACAAATGGTAAAAGATGAATTCATTAGACTCGTTCCAGCTTGCATGGAGAAGTCACTTCATCAAATGGGCAAGGTGTGTGGATGTCGTTAGCAGCTACAAACACTTGGGTATGGAGAGTGAGAAGCTGGTAGAGCCCAGTGGGCTGAAGCAACCGGCTGGCAGAACAGAGGTCCACGGGAAAGACACCGAATCCCCAGTGTTTTCTTCCTTTCTTTCTGGAGAGCATGTACCGGGGTGAAGAGGTTACATGCCTTGCCACCTGTGCCACCTCGGGCAAGCTGCATAGTCCCTGAGTGCCACTGGAAGGACGGACTGGTCACCTTCTGAGTACAGGTACATACTTCATACATAGTGAACTGTGGGAGGGTCAGCTTGATAATTATTACGGAGAAGGAAAAACAAAGCATGAACAGTGGGTTCAAAAGGAAACGTGAACATTGACCTCACATTTTCCATATCGCCCACATTATTTCACATGACTGCCCGACAAGATTTTCCATGTACATAATAAATAAATACTGTTGTAATCTTCAGCAGCTCTTCTCAGTGGAGATCATATGGCCTCCTGGGAGGTCTTGGCACATTTGAAGGGAGCCAAAGACTGGAAAAAAAAATTCCTTACACACCACCTTATGAGGTTTGTTGTGTGACTTAAACAATCCTGATTCGGAAAAAATTCCTTACACACCATCTTATGAGGTTTGTTGTGTGACTTAAATAATCCTGATTCAAACTATATTTCTTTCATATGGTGTTTATGGTCACCGCCAAAAAAAGGTTGAGAATGGCTGATCTACATGATGTACTTCCTCTTTCCTTCCCTAACAAGAAGGCTTCTGTCCCTTTCACAAATATTAACACAGAGAAGTTCATGCCTGACAGGCAGAAATTCAACAAGTGAAGCTTTTCCCCCTTGAGATCTTCATATTGGGGGGGGCTGAGGGTAGCAGAAAAGGTTAGATTATTGCTCGGGGTGCAGCAGTTAAAGGCACAGGAGCCACGCCATGAGAGAAACGGTGGCAACCCGTAGCCAAAAAAAAAACCCTGTTAACAATGGCATAGCGAATTTATCCAGCCCTCCAAAAACAGGCAGAAATTCAACAAGTGAAGCTTTTCCCCCTTGAGATCTTCATATTGGGGGGGCTGAGGGTAGCAGAAAAGGTTAGATTATTGCTCGGGGTGCAGCAGTTAAAGGCACAGGAGCCACGCCATGAGAGAAACGGTGGCAACCCGTAGCCAAAAAAAAAACAAAACAAAACAAAACACACACCCTGTTAACAACGGCGTAGCGAATTTATCCAGCCCTCCAAAAACGCACGGTAACACAATTCCCACGACGTGGTTTCCTCCCTTCTGCGATGCAGTCCTCGAACGTAACAAGAAATGGTCCTCTGCTTCTTTCCAAGCTCCAGTGGCGCTCACCCGCCCTCCGGACCCTTCTGGATTTCACCTCCGCAGGTGGAGCGCGGCACCGGCTCCCGAAGGGCGGCTCCCCGACAGGCCCCATTTCTCTCAGGCATCATCCCCCCCCATACACACACACACAGAGCCCCGCCCCACCAAAAACCCATCGCCCCTGCTTCCACCTCCCCGCCCTCACCTTGGACGCCGGGGATCGCT